TCACTATGTAGTTAAGACTGACCTGGAACTCACTATGTAGCCCAGGCTGGTCTCGAACTCACAGCGATCCTCCTGTCTCAGCCTCCAGAGTGCTGGGATTATAGGCGTGCACCACCACACCCAGTTACAAAGGATTTTTTTTTTTGATGCAGGGTCTCCCTCTGTTCAGGCTGGCCTCCAATTCCTAGCAATCTTCCTGCCTCAGCCCCTCCAGTGCCGGGATTACAGGCATGCCACAACACCTAGCCAAAGATTAAAAAAATAGAAAAGTGGCCTTTAAAAAGCCTCATTTCCCTGCTTTTGTGTAAGGCGGCCTGCCCAGACCTTCCTTCCAGCTCTTTCCCTTGCCCCACCACAGGCTGCGCTCTCCTCACCCTAGTCCCACCCTCACCCCAGCTCCCACACCTCAGGCCTCAGGGCACCCACAGAGGGTTCCACACACCCAGGGCTTCCAGCCTTGTGCTGCCCCTGAGAGCAGGGAGGCACCCTAGGCAGCTCAGGGCCCATCGAGGGCCCCCCACCAGGCAGGAGAGGCCTGTGGGGACTGAAGGGAGGGGTGGGGGGGCAGGATGACCATGTGCGCGTCTCCAAGTGCGTTCTACTTGGGGTCTGCTGCTCACAGCGTCCCTTTCCCTGAACATTCCGATGTCCGGGAGCCCGAGCTGGAGGGACCTGGAGGGCGGAGGGGCTGGGACCCCAGGGAGGGAAGCAGGGATGAGGGGGGGAGGAGAGGGGAGGCGGGATCAGGAGCAGGGGCGGGGCCACCTGGGCCACCCTGTGGGCTGTTGCTGTCACGCAGGGAGCGACACAGCCAGGATCTGTGGTGCCCTCCTCCCCAGCCAGTATGCAGCCGCCTGCGCCCCCTGTGCCCGGGCCCCTGTCCCTGCTGGACACCACAGGTGAGCGGCGCGGCTCAGTGGGACAGGGGTGGCTGGCGGGGAGCCGTGCCTGGCTCCAGCGGGAGGGTCTGTCCCTCTGACTCTTCTGAGCTTGGACTACACAAACTGTCTCCAGCTCCTCTGTCCCCTCCGTCTTTCCTCTTGGACTCTCTGAGTCGGTGTCCACTTCACTCTGACCTGTCCGATCTATCCCTAGAGGACAGACCCTGCTTGCCAGCGGGCCACCATGCAGCACTTTTCTCTGCTCTCCTGCCCAATCTAGTGCTCAGGGAAGCACCCTTTTCAAGGAACCAAGTAGCGTCTTCCTGCATGGAAGTGGCAGAGGTGCTTACAGTTTTAGGGCATTGTTTCATTTTGGGGAACACCCCCTTCACCATCAATTCACGGAATCACTAATTGTTGATTTCCCAAATGCAGCTATGCAGGGAAAACAGGAAGCCTTTTCCTGGAGGGACTGGGAGCCAGGGTGTCACCCAGGGCTCTTGTCCCTTGCAGTGACAAAGTGGAGGTGGGGATTGGGATGTTACCTTGTCAAGGACCTGGGGCAAACCAATTGCTGAGTCCAAACTGTTTCCCATTGGATGGTGAAGAGTGTGCTCTTTGTCGGCTTCATTCCACGCTCATCCTCCAGGACAGGGTTGCTTGGTTAGTGTCTGATTACCACCTATGGCTACTTATTTGCTAACCAGCCGCTACTGTTGCTGTACTAGAATGACTTAATGGCTTATATAGCAAATGATTTAGTTTTTCTTCTGGTAAGGAACTTTAAGCCTTAGGCATAACATTTGGCATTGGTCTTTATTAAAAGATTCAAAGCCAGGTGCAAAGGCTGCCCGAATTCCCCACCGGTCAGAGGCCTGAGGTGGAAAGATCACTTGACTTCATGAGTTTAAGACCAGGCTGGGCAGCATAGTGAGACTTCGTCTCAAAAAATAATACGCAAAAATTAACAGATCCCAAATACCAGTGTGGCTGGGTAGGGCAGTGGGTGTTTTATCTCTCTCCTTCTCTGCTGTCACTCTGAGTGTTGCTTGTAAATCAGGACACAGGCACACTGAGGACTGGGGCACATCTCCACCCCCCACTTTGGGATCAGTTTCTTGTCCCTGTGGCCTACAGAGATTTTTTTTTTTTTTATGGGGTCTTTCTGTCTTGCACAGGCTGTGCTTGAACCTCTGGGCTAAAGGACACTCTTGCCTCAGCCTCCTGAGTGCTGGGACCAGAGAGGCATCCTGCGCCCAGCTACTACATTTAAATGAACACATTCTGGGGTCTCGGTCTAGGGAAAAGGCAGGCCCTGGCTCAGCCACCTCCAGTCTCCGTGAGGGAAGCGGGGTCTTCTTGTCCCAGGGTGAAGAGCAGCTGTGGTGAACACTTGTCATGGGATAGGGCCAGGGCCACCGCAGTGGGGGTGGGCTCCACTCTCCTCTCTCAGCCATGTGCCTGGGCTCTGGGTGCCGAGGGGTACAGTATCTGCCTTGTATCCTCCTGGCTTGAGCTCCCGAGGTCCACAGTGTCCAGGGTCCCAGCCAGCTGGCTGGACCAGTCCTAATCCTAGGCGATGTGTGTGTTACCTCAGGCACTGTCTTCTTGTCTTTGCCCTCAGCTGAGGCCTTGATGGACATTGGGGTGCAGAAGCAAAATCTCCAGAAGTTCTGGGTGTCGCCTGTCATGGTCCAGCTGCTGATGCACTCACACACACACATGTGCCACTTATTACATGACACACATGTGCACACGCTCAAGTCCAGTTCACCCACCGGCACATGTGCACAGCCAACACATATGCACACATATGCTCTTAGTACCACAAGCACACTCATGTGGGCACACATGCACGCTTGCACACATGTGCACAGAGCACCGACTGAGAACTTTGGCTCAAGTTTGCTGGTCCGAGGGCTGAGCCTCTCCTGTCCGCCCAGCTGTGTGGCTCTTGGCTGTGGCAGCAGAAGGCAGGCATGTCTGAGGGCCACGGCCACAGTGAGGGTTCTCAAGAGCTGCTTCCAGTCCAGACCCTGGGGAGGGATCGGTGGCAGAGGACACAGGCAATGAGATTCCTTCCTGCCTGTTTCTGGGCCCTGTGGCAACTGGAGCCTGGGTTGTCAGAGCAGTGGCTGGCAGTGCAGTGCCCTGCTCCCTTGCCTGACTGCTTGGGCACCTCTGCTCTGCCATCCCAAGTCTCTTGTGGCCCTCATGCCCATATGGCTGCTGGCTTTGCCCTCATCTGTTCCTCCCAGGCAGAAGGCAGAGTGAGGGGATACAGGCTGAGGACAGCTTCCCAAAGACATTTCTGGGAATCCCACCATACCCTCCTGAGCCCTGAGCATGGCAGGGCTGGTGCTGCCCCTTCAGGCACGATTGGTCCACACCAAGAGCTGGCCTGAGAAGAGCAGATTGCCAGCTTAGTCTCCTCCTCCTCTTCTTGGCCCGGAGCTGCCAGGAACGAGGCAGAAGGACCCCCCTGGCCCGGCAGTGTGTTGGGGGCACAGGGCGAGGTCCTCCCTGATGGACGTGGTGTCAGTGCTGGGCGCGCCTGGCTTGGTGGGGGCCTAGGGTCAGAGGCATGAGGGGCTGGCGGTCTGGGAGGTGGCACTGCCTATGGCATGGGTACTGCAGGCATCTGAGCCCCGGCCTGCTCCGGCTCCTGGTCTGATGAATGCAGGGGCACCATAGAGACGGCAGCCGTGGAAGAAGTCACCCAGGGCCATGGCAGGGGTGGGGGATGGTCCCAGGAGGGGCAGTACAGGGACCCGGGCTTAGGACTCAGGGAGACGAGAGGAAGGTGGGCAGGGTCGTGGGGGTCTGGGCATCCGCAGGTTGAGGAGGAGCCTGGGGTCTTGAGAGACAGACCCCGAGCTGCTATGTTGAGGGAAAAGGCGCCTACGGACTGTCACACTGACGCTCCTGTCCGTCCTCCTCACGAAGGGTCCACCCGGAGGAGGCGAACCTCCCTGTGGTTCGTAGGGTCCCTGCTGCTGGTGTCTACCCTCATCCTGACTGTCGGCCTTGCTGCCACCACCAGGACGGAGAATGTGACTGTGGGCGGCTACTACCCTGGCATTATTGTGAGTCCTGGGCCTTAGGGGTGAGCAGGCTGTGGTGCCCATGTGGGGGATGCGGTGCCACAGAGCGGGGTCCCCTGGGCCTCAGAATGGTGATGAGACAAAGGCTGCTGTCAGAGGACCTTGAGGGGCCAGGATCCAGCACTGTCCAGGTGGCCGGGTGGCACAGGGCTAGGCATGGGGTGCAGAGTGAGGTCACTCCATGCACACTGAGGGAACCCTCCCGGAGTCCCAGCCGGGCTTCCTGCCAGGAGCTGCTGTGAAGATCCGTTCGCAATAGCAGCACCTTGGGACCCCAGAGAGCTTGATGGGGTGACAGCACCCTGCCATCAGGTCTAAACGTAGCTGTAGCACGAAGCTTCACGCTGCCAGGAGGCTGTGCTGGCATTCTCGTTGATGACGGCAGTAATGAAGTCCGTGCCTCTCCACCCGTCATGGGCAGCAGGCCAAGACATCTGGAAATGAGGCGACTGAGCCGTGGCTCGTGCTGACACCATCTGCAGGAGCAGACATGGTGCTGACAAGGCTGCCCTCAGCACCTGGACATGTCTGCAGACATCAGTGACACACCCCTGTGATTCCAGCAGTCAGGAGGCTGAGGCAGGAGGATCGCACGAGGTCAAGGCAAGCCTGGGCCACATAGTGAAACCCTGTCTGAAAAAATGAGAAACAAAACAACAACAACAAAAAAATCCAAGCACCTCTCTTGTTGTCTGTTTCCTCTTTCTACTGACTCTTACATACTTAGATACATGGTTTCACTATGTTTAATTCAGGAATAAACGGACAAAAAACAACTTTCAGAGAAAGCTTTCTAGTACAACTGTGTGAAGCTGCGTTAGGGACTGGCCTCATACTCCATTTTTTGGTCATATTTTCTGGGCAGGAAAGGAGCCCTGGAATTCCATAGCTAACAGTTGTAAAGATGCCTCCTCCTGAAGTTTTTGCAAAATATCAAGCTCACCCTCCCGTGTTACAGCTGGAGAGGAATGGGCTCCCGGAGGACCTGTGTCCTAAATCACAGGCACACAGCTGAAGCCGCCTGCATCTACCCCAGGCAGAGAAGGGACCCCCATCTCGAGGGAGACCCAGGAGCAAGCACCATACTGCGGAGCAGATCTTGTTCAAATTAAGAAAATGAAATGTAGTAAGACAAAATATGTTAGCACATTCATGTTGGGTGGACTTTGATATTGATTTATGTTTTGGTTCTTTTGAGATAGGCTCTCACTATGTAGTTTGTGCTGGCCTTGAATGCTCAGCAGTCCTGCCTCAGCCTCCCAAATGGACTCACAGGTGTGCACCACCACGCCCATCATTTGTTTGTTTGGACTTTGATATTTGTGAGCTGTGGAATCTCAAAACTCAGCACCGAAGAGATCATAATCTTTCCCCGAGGACTCCCATGTTATGGGTGGGAACCACATGTGTACATGTGTGTCGTCCTGACATGTGGCCAATGAGGAGTGACTGTGGGTCTGACTCCTGCCCAGTCCACTGAGCAGCCCTAGCTGCCCACGCCCAGTCTGAGTGCAGCTCCTTTGAGGACTTGGACACAGATGGCAGAGACTGCCCCTGAGACAGCTGTCCTCACTGTCACGCTCCGCCGGCCCCATCCTTCCTTCAGGGAGGCCCCTGCACATCTGCCCCAGATGTTTTCTCTCCTCCTCCAGCCCCAGGGCAGGGCCCAGAGCTGGTGCCTGTGTCCCAGGGTGCTGTGGCGGGTTCAACTGAGCAATGCCCAACCCTCGAAGCTGTCCTTACAAGAGTGCTCTGGGTCTCTCAGAGAGGCCAGGGGGACACTTGTCCCTCCCTGGGTCAAGAGGAGATGAGTGGTGCCGGGCTCATCCCGCTAGTTTAGCACAGCAGGGGTGAGGGGATTCTGGGGTACAAAGGGTCAGGGGTGTGGCTGACTGCTGGCTGTGTCAGAAGCCGATCAGAACCTTCTCCTCTTGTTTCTCTTTGGTCTCAGCTGGGTTTTGGATCTTTCTTGGGAATCATTGGCATCCACCTGGTGGAGAACAGAAGACAAATGGTAAGAAAACACATTTCTCCCTAGGTGGGCCGGGGGTGCAGTCACAGCCTGGGTTCCAGGGCAGCTGCCTCCACAGCCTGGAGCAGGGCAGGAGGGCACTACACACACTGTGGCCTAAGTGAGTGTCTTGGGGTGCTGGGCTGTGCTCAGAGTTGCCCAGATGGAAAGAGGAGGGGTGGACGGGAAGGAGCTGGGCTGTGATGGTGCAGGTACAGTGTGGACGCCCTGGGTGGACATCGAGGGCGTCACTGGCAGTTTCCTTTGTCATCTGTCGAGTGGATGCATGGTCTGGGCTGATACTGGCTGATACATGTCTCCAGGACTTCCCGATGCAGGGAGGTTGCTGTATGCTGCAGAGGTGCTGACAGTGGGGAGCTGAGTGGAGGGCAAACAGGGGCTCTAGGAACTATTTTCCTGCTGTTCTAGTTAATCTGGAATTGTTTCGGAAGGAAAGCTTAAAAAATGTAAAGAAGTGACCAACAGACGTAAGAAAGGCGTCCACCCTCCTTAATAGTCAGAGAAATGCAACTCAAAATAAGGTGGGGTTTTTTGCCCATCAGATCATCAGACCTTAAAAAATCAATAACTTCAAATGTCATTCAGCATAGGAGGAAACGGGCAAAAGAGCTGGCATTTTTACTGGACTTTCTGTGGTAAAAGTGCAAAGGGCTTAAATATGTCCTTTGCAGAAACATTGTGTTACTGTGCTTTGGCGGAATCGATCCCACAGACACACTCATGTGCACGCCTACTGCTTTTACATGGTCACGTTTAGAGGCTGTATAGTAGTTCACAGTGAGAAGAACCTGCGCACTGTTTAAATGGCACCTTGTCAGCAGTGAGCTGCTTCTGGTTCTACTAAACACAGGCTGAACAGTGGTTTCCAGGGGATGCAGTTACAGAAAAGGTAGATGAGCACACTGTGTGTATGTATGTGCATGTGTGTGCTCATGCGCGTATGACAGGAGCAGAGGCTGAGTCCCTTCTCCGGAGCTGTGAGGGAGCAGAGAGGACAGTGTGTCCCTGTCTGAGAAGGAAGGTGCACAGAGCACCCCACGGGCAAGTTGAGTGTGCTGGCCTGTCTCACAGCAATGTCCCAAGAGAGGCAGAAGGAACTGGCAGTGTCCTGCAGGGAACCAGGTTCGAGCTGGGACTTTGAGCTGCATGTGAAAAATGTTCTTGTTCTCCTCTTCTGCTTCTAGCTGGTGGCCGCCATTGTGTTCATCAGCTTTGGGGTGGTGGCTGCCTTCTGCTGTGCCATTGTGGACGGTGTGTTCGCAGCGCAGCACATGGTGAGTACGGCACTCACAGCTCGGCACATTGTCCATCCAGGGTGGTGTCCACACAGGATTGGCACTGCACCCTGCCTGTCCCATTGCTGAGCCCTCAGAGGGTGCTCGTCCCCATCGACCTCTAGGTGATGGTGGATGCTTGGCGCCACTCTTAGGGCAGCAGTAGCAGTGTTTTGGGAAAGAGACAAAAACCCTGCAGTCATAAAATACGTGCAGACCGGGGTCCCTGAGCCTTTACAGATCACACGTGGCACCTTAATTTCTGTGTCCTCTGCCCCAGCAGTTATAAGCACTTTGAAATCACAAGGTTCCTCTTCTGGCCCTGAAATTCACCCAAGGCAAGAGTTCTGCCTTGTCTCAGCGTCCTCATCATTTGATGCCGCATCTGCTCCGGGAATGGCAGAGATGGACGATGGGCACATGGAGGGGTGTATGGTAGAGTGGTCGGACAGGGTGATATGGGCGGGTGTGGGTAGAG